CTTTTTCCTCACAGTCGTACCTGTAAGCTGAAGTAGCTGTGATTTTTCTTTTAAAAAAAAAAATTTTTGTTAATGTCTGTGTTTTAAGTAAGGAAAGAAAGAAAAGAGTAAACAAGATACGGTGTTTACTAGGTGGCACAACTTGGTTCAAACCTTGTCCTCAGAGCTTCACTCTGCCTGCATCGTGTTATCTTGCCACCCAGTTGCTGGTCACTGCTACTGTAACAGCTTCGGTAGTACTGGAAGAAGAGGCCAAGCATAGGGAGGAGGGAGGACACTGTCCCATAGAGCTTCTTCATAACTCTTGTCTCCTAAAGCAGTCTGGGACATCCCAAAGAAGTAACCCCAGACCTTCTATGGGTTGGGTCACCACTTCAGGCTGTTCCTTTAAACAGCCCTCAGTGGTGAGCATACAGAGAAATGGGGGTTGTAGTGAAGCCTGGCAGTGAGTCTCAGCCATGCCTCCCCGATCTGAGACTGGTCATCTCCCTTCCTCCCCAGAATGTCTCCATGAACCCCAGAGGAAATGGCTATCGTCTGTATGTGCAAAAATCAAATCGTTCTAAAACAACTGGACTGTGAGCTGAGAGATACAACTTGCTGCCCCCTGGTGGTAGATCGGAGTCATAACTGCCAGGTCCTTGAAAGAAAAGCTATATAGAGACCCTAGGAATGGTTCTCGTTCTTAATATTAAGTTTGATCATTTCTCTATATAGCTTTTAGGCCATAGCCTTTGCAGTTGCTTGCTATGTGTCAGAGAACTGGACAATGAGTAGGGATGATAGAAAGAGAATTAATGCCTTTGAGCTGTGGTGCTGAAGAAGAGTGTTGAATAGACCATGGACTTCCAGGAGAACAAACAGGTTCGTCCTAGAGAGGGTGAAGCCAGCTTGCTTCTTGGAGGCAAGGATTCAGAGGCTTCATCTGACATACTTTGGGTGTGTTGCAAGGAAAGGCCGGTCCTTGGAGAGGGTTGGAGAGGGATATTATGCTTGGAAGAGTGGAAGGACAGAAAGAGAGGGAGACCATCAATGAGATGGACTGATACAGTCAGTGGCTGGTGTAATGAGGGTGGGTAGGTGTTTCAGAGACAGTAAAGTTGGCAAAAGGTAGAGCAGGTTTCAGGGCTGATGTACATAGGGTCGCTATGAATTGCAAGCAAGTCTACAGGACATAACAATAGGAATGTGACATCAGGATTGGAGGAAGACGCATCAGCAACCTTTATTTTTCAGATGACACAATCTTACTTGCCAAATCAGGAGGACCTGAAGTACTTGCTGCAGAAGGTCAAGGACTGCAGCCTTCAATACGGATTGAAGTTCAGCATCAAGAAAACAAAGATTCTCACCATTGGGCCAATTGGCAGCATTATGATAGACGGTGAAGAGATTGCGATTGTTAACAGCTTTAGTTTATTTGGCTTCACAATCAACACTCTAGGTACCAGCAACCAGGAAATCAAAAGATTAATTGCATTGGGGAAAGTCAGCTGTCGGGAAATCTCCAGAGTACTGAAAAGCAAAGATGTCTGTCTGAAGATTAAGGTGCACCTGATCCAAGCTATGGTTTTCACAATTACTTGCTATGCATCAGAAAGCCGGACAATGACTAGGGATAATAGGAGAATTGATGCCTTTGAGTTGTGGTGCTGGATAAGAATATTGAACATACCATGGACTGCTAAGAGAACCAACAGATTCGTCCAACAGATAGGTCCTGGAGAGGGTTAAACCAAGCTGTTCTTGGAGGCAAAGATTCTGAAGCTCCATCTGACATACTTTGTACATGTCGCAAGAAGGGACCATTCCTTGGAGAAGTACATTATGCTTGGGAGGGTGGAGGTACAGCGCAAGAGAGGAAGACCCTCAGTGAGATGGATTGACACAATTGCTGGGATAATCGGGGTGGGTGTGTCTGAGACAGTAAGATTCACTCAGTATAGAGCAGGGTTCAAAGCTGTTGTACACGGGGTTGCTGTGAGTCACAGGCGACTTGATGGCACATAACTAACAACAAAGAGAGAGCTCTGGTGGCCTAGTGGGTCTGGGTTTGTGCTAACAAGTCAAAGGCAGGTGGTTCTAATCCACTAGCTTCTCCTCTGGAGATAGAGGCCAATCTCCACCTATGCAACTTCTAGAAATCCAGTGTAGGGTCCTCTATGAGTTGGTTCCAATTTGTTGATAGCGAGATGATGGTGATGGTGATGGTGTATCCCAGGAACTATGCAAAATGCTGAGGGGAGGAGGAGGTCAGAAATAGAATATAATACATAACCCCTCATCCCAAAAACTATGTGTTTAGTTGAGGAGTCAGGACAGTCCCTTGTGAAGAGTTGACGGCATCCCAAGATGGGATTTGAAACATGAAAAGGCATTTCATTCAGGTTGCAGAGAGGAAAGAGCACACTGACAGTGGAGTGTTCACAGAGGGCCTCTCAGCGGAAAATTGGGAAATGTCAAAGAATAACTTGAGGAATTTAAAGTCCAGACAACTAGTGCAAAGATGAGACCCAAGACGATCCAGTGCTTCTCAAGCTCTTATGGAGCAAACTAATCTTCAGCGTGTTAAAATGAAGGTTATAAATTAGTGGGTCTAGATGAGGTCCATATATGTGCAGAAGAGATCGTTTGGGAGGCTGGGCTCTATGAGGAGGAATGTGGCATCAGGACTGGAGGAAGACGCATCAACAACTTGCATTATAGAGATGGCACAACCTTGCTCGCCAAAACTGAGGAAGACTTGAGAAAGTCAAGGACTGTCATCTTCAATATGGACTGAAGCTCAACATCAAGAAAATGAACATTCCTACCACTGGGCCAATTGGCAGCACCATGTTAGACGGAGAAGAGATTGAGGTTGTTCATAGCTTCAGTTTTCTTGGCTCCACAATCAACACTCTTGGCACCAGCAGTCAGGAAATCAAAAGATTAATTGCTTTGGGAAAATCTGTCAGAGATCTCTCCAGAGGACTGAGGAGCAACAATATGAGTCTAGAGACTAAGGTGTGCCTGATCCAGGCCATGGTCTTTGCAATTACTTGCTATGCACCAAAGAGCTGAAGAGTGACTAAGGATGGCAAAAGAAGAATCAATGCCTTTGAGTTGAGGTTCTGGAGAAGAGTATTGAACATATTATGGACCACAAAGAGTACAAACAAATCTGTCTTGGAGAGGGTGAAACCAAGTTTCTCCTTGGAGGCAAGAATTTTTAAACTCTGTCTCACATACTTTGAGCACATGGCCAGGAGGGATCAGTCTCTGGAGAAGGACATCATGCTTGGAAGGGTGGAAGGGCAGCACAGGAGAGGAAAGTCCTGGATGAGATGGACTGACACAGTAATTGGGGCAATAGGGGTAGATATGTTGGAGTCAGTGAGATTGGCTCAGGATAGGGCAGGGTAAACAGGGGTCACTGTGACTCCCTGGCACATAATAATAACAACAACAATAGAGTGAGATCAGAGCTTTTTGTGTTTTTAACAAGTTCCTAGGTAGGGTCCAAGCTGTTGGTCCGCAGCCTGCATTGAGAGTAGCCTCAAGTACAGTACCTATGAATGAATCCGAAATATTGTTGTTGGATGGATGTGACCCACTGTGAGGTGGGTGAGCAGGTGGTACCTGCGGGGGCACCTTCCACGCCATGCTGTGTTGAACAGCATCCTGAGTAGGGTGCAGGTTGAGTACCAACCTGTGCTTGCCCTTTGACTAATAAAGAATTTGCAAAACCACAGATTGCAGCTCCAGTGCAGTGTACCAGCAGAGGTGATAGTATTAGCATGCAGCACAGTGACTTTAGTCTGTCATCTTTGAGTTTGAGATTTCTGTGGGACATACCAGTGAGATGTCTGTCTACTAGCAGTTGGAAACATAGCTCAGGCCACAAATTTGGGATTAATGAGGGGCTCACTGAGGATATACCATGATGTGAGGAGAGCAAGATGAGTGGAGGGGCCAAGGTTGGGGGGAAGTCTAACCCTTGAAACCTACTTATGGGTAACACTGTTCTTCCAACATCTCTGTCACTTTTGTTGTCTTGCAGGTCATCCATTCCCTTTACTGAACGTAAGTGCTCACAGACACCCCTCACTCCCCAGGACTCAGGACTCTTCCCATCCTCCTGTCCCCTCAGTGCAGTCTTGCCCCTGACATACCTGGAAAGCTCTGAAATCACCTCACTAAACTGACAGGAGAGTCCACCCAGAGCCTGTCTGACAGTTCTCTTGTCAGCCAAGACAGGTCTCCCCAGCCTCCCTGCAGGAGATCACCTCGCAGGAGCCAAGACACTGCCCATCATGGCCCTCAGGCTCCCCCCCACTTGCCTTGCCCTAGTTTTTCATGACAGTTTAGAGGAGCAGAGAGGAGAAATACTCCCAAAAGGAGCATGCAGTGGGCTGAGGTAGAACCAGGTAGGACTTCTAAGACATTCTGGCCTTGAGCCTGCAGCCAGAGTTAGCAGTTCAGGCACCAGTGTGTTTGTGCTCAGCGCAGTGATTAAGAGCGCCAACTCTAGGATGAACCACTTGCAGGGAATCCCAGCCGAATGAATCTAAGCCTCCACTTCCTCCTAAGTGCTAATTCATGATTGTGAGGGTTAAATGAGATACTGGAGCAGAGGGTACAGGGTACAGACTCAGCCCTCCATAAACAAAAGCTGTTGTTCTTCTGTGTCTTGGCATGAGGGGCTTTGAAGGACATAGAAAAGAGAATGGAAGGAAAAAGACAGCAAGAATCTTTTAGAACTGCACAGAAATGGGGAGAGAATTACACCTCCAGCTAGCACTCTGCCCCCTCTTCCCTCCTGCAGCCATCGTCCCTATCCCACCCTTGGCTTAGATTGCCCCAGGTCCCAGTGGGCAGGCAGCCCTCCGTCCTCGGAGCCCCCAGGAGCCCAGCTCTTGGCCCGCCCCTTGCTCCTGCTGCCTGTAGAGGTGCAGAGTTCCATGAGGGCTCCCTCCCACCTCCTGCTGGTTGACAGCCACAAACCCTGTGCTTTGCAGAGTTTGATGGGGCATCGGGCGGATGACAGCGGGAACGGTTGTGATCACCGGTGGAATCCTAGCGACAGTGATCCTGCTGTGTATCATTGCAGTCCTGTGCTACTGCCGACTCCAGGTCGGTCCCCAGGCCCTCAGCCAAGGCCGCCAGCTCCCAAAGCTCACTCACAAACTGGGGGCCCGCTTCAGGGGGAGCAAAGCCAAAGTCATGAAACATGGGAGGCTGGAGGTTGGGGTTATCAGAGGAAAGCCATGCTCCCACAAACACTACATGCAAGGTACCCCAGAAAAGTGTACACAGAGGATCATGGGCATCTCCTGCACTTTCGAGACGTCAGGTGTGATGGGAAGGATGCCACCGAGGGACAACCTGAAAGCTGCTCGCAGCCCTGTCTCCATTAAGATTTGTAAATTCCTCAACCTCCTTCCCGTGGGAGAAAGATGGGCATCAACCTTCCAGCAACAACTTCCTTCCACGATGACATAGAGTAAATACAGTGGTGTTATTGTGTACTGTTGAGTCAGAACCAACTCATACAGAGCTGGCCTTCCAGGAGGTTTTGAGAGGCTGTAAATCACACAGGAGAAGATTGCCCATTTTCCCCTCAGGGAGCAACAGGTGTGTTGGAACCATGTGCCTTGGGGTTGACAGCACGGTTCCTTAACACTCAGTCCCCAGAGCCCCTTAGAGTGAATACACTGGGGAAGAAAAAGGAAAGAAGTGCTGGTCATGCGAGAGGTCATAAGTGATAGGTAAGCACACTGCTAACCAAGAGGTGGGTGGTTTGAAGCCAGCCAGAGGCTCCATAGAAGAAAGGCCTGGTGGTCTGCTTCTGAAAGGCCGCAGCGTGGAGAATCCTGTGGGGCGCACTTACACGCCATCACCATGAGCTGGGATCCACTCAGCAGCAGTGGGATTGCTGGTCTTGTAAATCTGGGAAGAGGCTTTCATCGAACCGCTATGAGAGGTAGACCTCTGGGGTCCTCTTTTACCCCCCAGCACCAACAGGTTGCTCCATAGAGTGGGGAGATGTGAGGACTCACACACTTGAGGGGGGCCCTGGGACTGGGGGAGCATCGCCCCCTCAGACACCCTTCTTTTCTCTCCTCCCAGTATTACTGCTGCAAGAAGAGCGGAGCCGAGGATGCCGACGAGGAAGAGGAGCAGCACGACTTCCCCACGCACCCCAGAGGCCCCACCTGCAATGCCTGCAGCTCCCAAGCCCTGGACGGCCGAGGCAGCCTGGTGCCTCTCGCCAGCGAACCCTTCGGCCAGCCGTGTGGTGCGGCGGGCAGCCACTGTACCACCTGCTCCCCATACAGTTCCCCCTTTTACATACGGACGGCTGACATGGTGCCCAATGGGGGAGGGAGCGAGAGGCTCCCCTTCACCCCCACATATTACAAAGAAGGGGGGCCCCCACCCCTCAAAATGGCAGTGCCGCAGAGTTACCCGGTGACCTGGCCCAGCTCTGGGCATGAGGCCTTCACCACTCCAAGGGCTATTAGTACAGACGTGTAACCCCTCTCCCCCGCCACCGCACACCACCAACGCTGCCACCTCAGCTGGAGCAATGTGGGCAGTGGACCACCCCCTGACAGCCCCACAAGGACTCGTTGGTTTCTTTGGCTTTTTCCTGCCTCACACTGGATGGTTCACTAGGTATAGCGTGCATTGAGAACCAGGACAGGTCTGGCCCCAAGTCTGTGGCCTGATGGGAGGGCTTGGGAGAGGAGTACACCTTTGCCATCTTAGCCATTGGGACATTCCTCTGGTCAAGCCCAGCTCCATCGCCTCCCCTCTCCTCACCAGCCTTCCTTGCCCATGGGATGAGTAGCATCACGGAAAGCTGAACGGGGTTCCCAGAGTCCTTTGAGAGTAAGTGGCCTTGCCTAAGGAGAAAAGGGAACAAAGAAGAGACTTGTAACTAAAACATTCCAGCATCTGAGAAGAGTGGGGAAGCTATGTTAAAGGGTTCGCTTCCAAATTTAACCTGCTAAAACCAATCCAAGAACTAATTTACAATCTAGTTGCTTTGTACTTTGGTTAGCTACTGCAGTCACTGTGGCGAATGTTGATTCCCAACCCACCACCTGTGTGTCAGCTTCTTTCCTGGTAACTTTAAAGGAGTAAGGTTATTTGTGGCGACTGTACCAAAAAAGTCACTGTCTAGCGTTGTCCTCGTAAGTCCTCTCTCTCTGCCTTAGGAACAAGCTGCCCCCTGCTGGAGAACCGGCTTTTCAAGTTTTGCTACCAGAGTTGGTTAGTGGTTGAGATCCTGCTTCTCTTAGACCCACCACACTAAGCAATGCACAGGACGCAGACCTGTGTGTGCTTTGTGTCAGGTGTGTGTTGCACACACACACACAGGCACACGCCAGTCAACACCAGCAGACACTCGGGGCCGTCGCCATCTTCAAGAGCTGTTAAGTGGAAAGGTCTCAAGTGTGCCAGCTGAAAAATCTGACCTGTAGTCAGCACAAACCCAAAGGTGATGAAGGTGACCAATTTCTATAGCTCTCAGCTGGCTGGCACAGTAAGGATCCCAAAAGCGCCACGGGCTGTTGCTGCGGCCTCTGAAGCCACATAAGCTGTTTTAGAGACCAGGATTTCTCCCCTCCCTTGAAGCCGTCACCCGCTGCATCCAGCAAAGGTGACATCTTTCACTTCCCAGAATCGAAAGGATTTTATTTAGCAACTAGATTTCACATCTGCTGCCCCCTGCAACACAGAAATACTCAGAGTTCCTAGAAGTTGGCCACTTAGCACTGCTTCCCTGTAGCCAATTCCTACCTATTCTCACCTGAAACTCTGCAGTGGCTTTGTACTTTTTAAGTCAGCACCCCTAATGACTTTCCGGATGTTACTGCTGTAAGGGCCATGCCTGCCTCCCCTCCTCTGAGGATGTACCCAGCCTTCCCACTGCTCCTGAGTGCTGCTGGGAACCAGGCGAGGAAGGAACTGCGTGTTCTGTTGGAATCTCTCCCTTTTTTTAAAACAGAGATCAGGGAGCATTTTATTGAACAAAGGGTAGAGAGTTGGACAGCAAAGGGAATGCACACCTTCCACACTATTTCGGGGCTTTTGACACTGAATCTCAGTCTTTAATTAGAACTCACTGAGCTGAGAGTCAGGAGCCCTGGTGGCACAGTGTTTAAGAGCTCAGCTGCTAATGAAAAGGTCAGTGGTTTAATCTCACAAGCTGCTCCAGAAGAAAGATGTGACAGTATGCTTCAATTTTTTTACGGGTTTAGAAACCCTATGGTCCCATTCTCCACTGTCCTCTGAATTGTTTTGAGTCTGGATTCACTCAGAAGCAGCAGGTTTGGATTTGGGGCTGAGTATTGGAAAGCCTGAGCTCTGGCCGTGTTTTGGTTACTCACTAGCTCTGGAATCTGTCACTTTTCCTCTGTGGCATTCCATGTTCTCATTTAAATGAGACTTATCCAGATGGAGTCTAAGAGCTGCTAGTGCTCCCTGAAGCCAGGACTTCCCACAAGCCCAGCAGTGAGTCAGGCCGCTCTGCTGCCCACATCCTGGTCGGAGCTGGGGACACCTGCCACGTGTCTGGTCCCATGTGCAGGAATGGTGTTGAGTGAGGAGGGCACGGTAACGTGCTAGATGAGCCGGCAGAGAAAGTGAGTATGTATGACTCTGACCCTTCTGCTGAGTTGCATCAGATAGTTACATTTGTCTAAAGATGCAGTTCTAGAAAAATCTGAATCCCAAGTGGGCAGCTGAAGACAACAGCTTTCACACGCCCCATTTTCCAGAAGCCCTCACTGGGCCAAAGGCGGCTCCTAGGCTTGAGCTGCTGGACCTGACAGGCCCTGGGCGACCTGAGCGAGGGCCAGCCCCATCCCCATGCCTGACCCACCGCCCCTGCCCCTAGAATTCCACAGCCAGTGAACCACCTCAGCCCCATCCCTTCTCATCCACACCAACAATGTCCTCTTTCCTACTCGCCTTTGGGAAAATCGAGGCAACCCACCATCATCACATGCTTTGTGTCCCTGATCTCTGAGGGTCCCTGAGTACAAATCATCTTGTACAATCCCATCTCCACATGTAGCTTTTCCAGCCTAAATCCTATCAGCCCACAAATAAAATTTGAATTTGGGGCATTGGGGAAGGTGAGGCGATGGCTGTGCTTTTCTCCACAGGGCCCCATCCTGCCTTCAGGGCATGGGGACCCGTCTCGAGATTCCCTCACTGTCTGTGGAGAAGGACGCTCACCCCACTCAGCCACACTGTACTTTTTAAGCTGTGGAGTCTGTACCAAGGGACACATTTGTACACTTTTCTCAAACTGCATCCTAAACAGAAAGAGGAGGAGGAGGACCGTGAAACACTGTTCCCTCGGCCATCTTGTCTCTGCCCCACTTCACTCCTCCTGCTGCAGATTTCTCTACTTGTCTTGCATCTTTGATAACTTGGGAGTTGCAACCAAGTGAATGTCAAAAATAAATGAATTTGAAATAGAAATCCCAGAGTCCTTTGTTCTTCACCCAGGGAGGGACCACTTGGGCCTGGATTTGACAGTGAGTGTTTTCTGTTGCATAAGTCTCAAAGCCATCCTTTGCTACATACAGAATATCCATTTTGAAGCAGAATCTAACTAATGTCCTTTCCTCTCCTGCTGACACATTAACAAATCCCTCCACTGTATTAACTGGTGTCCCCGTTGCCTCAGCTAGATTCCTCCCCCCACCCCCACCCCAGAAAGATCTATTATGCATTGAAAAAAGGGATTGAAGGTAGTGATTATTGTCTTGAGATTGAGGTGATGCTGTCTGAGGTGGTGGATCTCAATGGGGAACAAGTTTTCAAGCCTTCGTGTCAGCTCCCTCCCCACACACACTCTCCAAGCCAGTGGCTTTTGACATTCTGTGGATCCGTCAACTTTCTGATGCCTGAGGAAACAAACCAGGTATCATACAGCCAGCCTTTTGCCTACTTGAAAGGCAGGGAAGAGAAGAGGCTGTTTGGAATAAGCTGTAAAGGAGAGGTATGCAGTTGAGGACTCAAAGATCAGGAAGTAGCTTTATATATAAGAGGAGAATTCAAGGAAGATGAGCATGGTTCTCTTTGAGAATGAGGCCTCTCTCTGCATCATGACCATACCCCAACTCTAGCCAGATGGGCAGTGGGCAGTGGGAACACAACTTAGCTGGATCTGTCCTTACTATTGCCAGACTCGGGCTGTCCTTTTCTTTTTATTCTCTTTTTTTAAAAAAAAATTTATTCATTTTAATGAACATTTACAGAGATTTTGGATTTTCATTCATTCATTGTTGCACTTTTTCCTTTACCCACCTCCTCCCAGTTCTCTCCTCTCTTTGAAAAGCAAAAGATAAACTTCTTCGTTGGTATACAATCCCCCCACCCACCCCACCCCAACCCTGCCCCCCTCGTCCACACCAGCCTCAGACCACTTCTACCTCCTGCAGAGCAAGCCCACCTAAAAGCACCTGGAAATGATCCCTTTTGGGAGAGTAAGTCTTATCTACCTCTCTATGACATTCTAGGTTGGATGGCTGCTATTTGGACCACCTGCTATCTTCCTTTGTGGAGGGCTAGATTGATTCTTTGCTATATTCTGCAAGCATTTAGAGTGGAGCTTTGCAGTTTGCAATCAGACAAAGTCAGTTAATGGAAGGAAGTGCATTTCTTCCTTTCATTTGTGGTGTTAGTAACTGCAGTCCAGTTGACTGCAATACACAGAAACCTGCACAAAGGTATCATCAGGTCATTGTGATCGTTAGGTATTCATTGTCTGGTTTTTTTTCCCTAGAGTGTCCTCTCTTCCTGATCTGTCTTAGTCTGGAAGCTCTGCTGTAATGTGTTCAACCTTATAGCTTAAATGTTGTTGTTATCTGCCATCGAGTCACCTGCAACCCATAGCAACCCTATGTACAGCATCTCTGAAGTCTGCCCTGTCCTGAGCCATTCTCACTGGTTCTGACACACCTACTTCCATTGCCCTAGATATTGTGTCAACCCATCTCATCCAGGGTCTCCCTTTCTTGCGCTGTCCATCCGCCCTTCCAAGTGTGATGTCCTTTTCTAAGGATCCCTCCCTCCTGGCCACGTGCCCAAAGTATATGAGATGAAGCTTCAAAATCCTAGCCTCCAAGGAGAAACTTGGCCTATTTGGTTTCTTAGCAGTCCATATGAAGAGTACAAGACTCTTCTCCAGCACCACAACTCGAAGGCATTAATTCTTCTTCTGTCATTCCTAGTCATTGTCCAACTCTCTGATGCATAGCAAGCAATTATGAAGACCATGGCCTGGATCAGGTAAACATTAGTCTGTAGACTGACATCATTACTTTTTAGTACATTGGAGAGGTCCCTGACAGCAGATTTTCCCAATGCAATTAATCTTTTGATTTCCTGACTGCCTAAATACATATATTTATGTATGTGTGTGTGTATACATATATATAGATAGAAATAGAAAGCTTTAGTGGATTACTAGGGAGCTCTGGCCTTCTGGTGGCCTAGTGGTAAGAAACCATGCTGCCATCCCAATGGCACATGGTTCAAATCCACTAGCTGCTCTGAGGGAGAAGTATAGACAATTGACTGCCTTGAAAACCTGAAGAGTCAGCTATGGGTCATTTCTATCTCAATAGCACACAACAACATAAACAACAAGTGACTTGGTAAGGAATTGTGCTGCCAACCCAAAGGTATGCAGTTCAAATCCATCATCTGCTCCATAGGAGAAAGAAAGGCCATCTCCTCCCTCCAATAGAGTTCACAGCCTCTGAAAACCTGCTAGAGGGTCAGCTATAAGTTGATTCTCACTTGACTACACATAACCTATGCACACACCTATATACACTATAGCAGATTAGGAATATGTTCAGTTCTTTTATAAAATTGAGTCATATTTAATCATTTAATTTTAATATATTATTTAATAAAATGTCAAGACATTTTTTAAAGTTCTTTTATAAAATTGAATAATATTTAATGATTAAAAAGAGTAAGGTACATCTATATGGAATGATCTGACATGATGTCTATGGTGACTGTTATTGTTGTTGTTAGGTGCAAGTCTAGTATGACTCATAGTAACCCTATGAACAACAGATCTGAACCCTGTTCTATCCTGTTCCATCTTCACATTCCCTGACACACTGCAGCCCATTGTGGCAGTCACTGTGTCAATCCACCTGGTTGAAGGTCTTCCTCTCCTTCGCCAACCTGCCACCTTTCCTAGCATCATATCCTTTTCCAAAGAATACCCTCTTCTAGCAACATTCCCAAAGTATGTGAGGCAAAGCCTAATTCTTGCCTCCAAAGAGCACTCCAGCTGCACCCTTTACAAGACAGTTGTTTGTTCTCTTGGCCGTCCGTACAATGTTCCATGCTCTTCTCCAATACCACAGCTCTAAGGCATAAATTCTTCTGTCATCCTTACTCATTGTCCAGCTCTCAGATGCACAAAAAGTGATTGGGAAGACTATGGCCTGAATCAGACACACTTTAGTCCTCAAACTGACATCACTACTCCTCAATAATTTGGAGAGGTCACTACAGATTTTCCCAGTGCAGTGTGTCTCCTTATTTCCTGACTGCTGGTACCAAGGGTGTTGTGGATCCAAGCAAGATTAAGCTATTGACAATTTCAATCTCCTCTCCATCCATCATGATGTTGCCTGTAAATCTAGTGGCAAAAAATCTTTGTTTTCTTGACCTTGAGATTCAATCCATACCAAAGGCTGCATTCCTTGATCTTCTGCAACAAGTGCTTTAAATCTTCCTCACTTAGAGCAAGCAAGGTTATCATCTGCATAACGCAGATTATTGGTGAGTCTCCCTTCAATCCTGATGGCACACACCTCTTCGTAGAGCCCAGTTTCTCGGATAATTTAGTCAGCATATAGACTGAATACATATGGAGAGAGAATACAACCCTGCCACATTCCCTTCTCCATTTTAAACCATGCAGTGTTCCCCTGCTTCGTTTGCACAACAGTCCCCTGATCCAAATATAATTAATCAAGTGTAAGCTGATTGGCCATTGTCATTTCATTAATAATCACTGTGAGCTGGAAGCCTCTTGTTTAAGCAATCAGGATCTGGTGAGCAGGCCCTTGTATTTAAAAGTCAGTTGGGATCCCAAGAACATGGAAACAGCCCAAATGTCCAACCACAATGGAATGGATTGAGAAATTATGGTACATTCACATGACGGGATACTACACAGCACACAAAAACAATGATTTTAAAAATCACTACCTAACTTGGAAAGGACTAGAGAGCATTAAGCTTCACCATCCTTATCTCCACACAGCACTCTGGTTGCACCTTTTCCATGACAGACCAGTTTGTTCTTTTGGCAGTCCATGGGATGTTCAGTACTTTCCTCCAACACCACAACTCAAAGGCATGAATTCTTATCTATCATCTTTTTTCATCCTTCAGCTCTCAGATGCATGGAAAGTAATTGAAAAGATCAGGCACACCTTAGTCTTCAATTTTAAATCATTGCTCTTCAGTATTTTGCAAAGGTCCCTTATAGCAGAATTTCCCATAGCATGTATCTCCTAACCTAACTACTGGTACCTAGGGTGTTGATTGTGGATCCAAACAAGATGAAATCATTGACAGCCTCAATCCTTTCTTCATCTATGATAATGTTGCCTAATTGCCCCAGTGATAAGAAACTTTATTTTCTTGATGTTGAGATGGAATCCATATTGAAGACTAATCTTTGATCCTCTGTGGTAAGCATTTCAGGTCCTCCTTACTTTCAGCGAACAGGATTGTGTTATCTGCATAACACAGGTCGTTGATGAGTTTTGTGGTTTATTGTCTTGGTTTATTTTGTTGTTCTTTTTGTCCATGGGACCCCATTTTATCTAAGGAAATCTCACCTAAACTTTGTTCTCAATTTGGTAGCCTTCTCATCAAAAGGAAGATGTATTCAGTACTGTCTGGTGAGCACTTGGTTAGATGTCACAGCATGGGATATCTCACTTGGATGGGATTCTTTTGTAAACATGCTGAAATTACTAGTAGCTGCGAACCAAAAAAGAGTATTTCCTGCTCATAGTTTATGAGGGTGTACCTTGGTTTTCATTTCCCTGCCTTTCACAAAACCTATATCAGATCATCCTTACTTTGCTCAAATATCACAGTGAGTTTTGGAGTTTGTAGTTGTAGATTTTTAATCTTTTTTCTTAGAAATAACTAAAACAAACCCATTGTTATAGAGTTCATTCCAAAACATAACAACTCAATAGTACAGAGCAGAACAGCCCCAAAGGGTTTCCAGGGTTATAAATCTTTATGGAAGCAG